ACCCAATTTTAAGGTCCTAGGTCATTGGGTGACCTTCCAGGTCAGGTCAATGACCCAAAGTCGGGAAAATCGGGACCTATTAGAAAGTCGTAAAGTGTGGCTGCTAAGGGGTTTTCGGGGTGCTGATCACGAATATCGTGTTAGTTTTGATCACAGATGATGTCTTTAAGCATTTAGACCAGGTCGGGTCAGGTCAGGTCAGGTCAACCAGTAGGCGTCGTGACGGGTATTCGTAGTACGTGTCAACCGCCTCTGACAGCTTCGTAACATGTTACGAAGGCACCAAAACTACTTCGTAAATGTTCAAATGGTTGCTAGATTCGAATTCAGCTCCAAAAACTAGCCTAGAAACATGTAAAACTCGAAAAAAGTGAACCGAGGTCACCCGAGGTCACCAAAGGTCAATGACATGACCTGACCTTCAGGTGACCTTGACACCCACCCTTATGCATGGGAGCAACATCAAATCACATGTTTGAACGTTTGAAACCACGAAAAGCTTGCAAACGCGCGGCTAATGCGAGCCGACATACGCGGAATCGCGATTCCGGCCAAACATGGTCTCGGAAAAGAGGTCACAGGTCAAAGGTCATTTGGGTCAGGGTCATGAAATTTTCAGGGTAGGTGTAAAATTGATCAATGTGAGGGTAAGTTTCGTCGCGATCGGCCGCTTTTTACGCGAGTTATTCGCAAAAAACATGGGGAGGGGGGGTCCATCTGACCCCCCCCCCTACACATGCGAGGGTTAAGAAGAAGGAAAGGTTTTGAGAATGAGGCAAAGAGTTGAAATGGGTCTATTTGTTGTGAGACTTAAATACATTTTCGGCATATTGAAATATACCTACCAGACTAATACCTTTTACAGCATTAGACTGCCATTTGTATTGCAAGTTCCCTAACATAATTATCCGGTTTCTAAATGAAAGATATATAATAAGCAGAATGAAGGGTATTGCAGACAATGTGTTTATACCTATGAAGTTGTGTCACTGCCATAACCCACTAAACAGTGATAAAATACTTGATATGCACTGCTTCGCATGCACGCATTTATGTATATCTCATATTCACGGTTAGCCGGTGCATCGTCATGAGCATTGCACAACACTCATGGTCGAGCCCACATGGCCTTCAAAAGACAGCCCATCAACTGTCATTCCACTCCGCTTCTTCAGCCGCCTCGACCGGCCGCAGAAAAACCCGACCACATGCCGATCATATACAGCCCGATCGCTGCCACCCGTCGGCTCGCTCCGTGACCTCTGACGTCACGCGTCACGTGGGGCGTGACGTGTAACGTCTGTCTCCAGCCGCGGGCTGGTGAGTGACGGCGGTTGCACCGTGACGGTGACGCTTCGGAGGCGGCGTCGGCAGGAGTCGATTACACCCGGTTACTTCACCGAGGAGCGGCACTGGAGCGACTCCGAGGACCGGCACCGAAACGGCACTGGAGCAGCACTGGAGCGGCACCGAGGCGGCACTGGAGGCGGCACTGATGGAGCAGAGACCCTGTGACGACACAGCACCCCAGCCAGCACGGAGGGAGAGAAATGAGAAATTCGTCGCTGGGTGAACAATGCCGGCGCGGCTGGTCGGTACGGCTCACGACGCAGGTGAAGTGTGACGCGCTCACATCAGCAGTGACAGCGTGTGGACATTACTGGTGGTCCGTGTCGGCTTACTATGCTAACGTCCGGCTTGTGTAGCTGGATGCGCGAGCCTGCCACGGGAAACCGAAATTATCCACGGTGCTAACAACCATGTGAAGTACGAGACAATATGTCAAGCATGAGAAGGGCAGACATGATCCAGACAGGACATGCCACCGTTCAGGCTCTCAGAGATACTACACAACCCGTCTAGTGGCAATGAGCAAGACCCTCTCCTGCAGCCCGTTCAAGGGATGTGCTATGTCTGTGCTACCCTTGCAACATCTTGCATCTGAGAGCAGCGAAAGTGGTGATGTCACCGCGCAGCATCTTACCGTGAAATACGCCTCTGAAAGTTCATCTTCTGAGGCGCTACCGTACTCATCGGTACTGGAAGACACGCTTTCGAGCTTCCGCGATTTATTCGGAAGCATAGCTTATCTATAGACCGGTGTGGCGGCAGACGACATGACGACCTTCAAGTAACAGTACTCTATAAACACTAGGAAGGAACGCCCGGAAACGCCTACGCAAAAACCGGTCGATAGTAAGAATGAGTGCGACTCTCGGGCGTCGCCGGGGTGGGCGGCTGGCGCTGAGCCGGGTAAGGAGAGTCAGAAGTCACAACCGGCGCACAACGCGACCAGTGTGACGACACAAGGTCGCTCTCTGCACGGTCGCTCTCTGTGCGGGCCCGCGATGACCGCCTGTATCGTGACGCAACCGTGTGCGCCCCAGCCGTGATCCAGGTCAGCGGAGCGCAGCGGTACGGCCGGCTCACGGAACATAACTCACACACCGGATCGGCGAGCCGCTATTGTGTTATGAAAAGATACCGCACGTCGACACTGAAAATTGAGCAAGGACTAATTTTATCTTGGCCAAGCAGATTGCGACCGACATAGTTATAGTGGCTACTATTGCAGGTGAATACATGACGAAGTGTGATTACGCTATTGTTTTAAATTTCTTTGTTAGGGCTGACTTGGTGGATGAGGGGCGGCATGAACGGTTTGTCCTCCCCCAAAGACCTTCAGCGTTGCTGATGCATGGAAACTAGGCTAATCGTGTCATGCAATGCATTACACCCAGATGAGTGTCACTGGCTAATTTCCGTGTCATCGGTCATTAGTCTTGCCCTTGCCGTTATAAAATACCATCTCATCCATCTGTAAGTAAGACCATGTGTCTACATCCGTCCACCCGTCAGTCCTTGTGTCCGTCTGTCAATCTGTCCGTCTGTTCTAATGTCCGTCTATTCTTATGTCCATCTGCTCCTCTGCCCACCACTGTCCATCTGTCAATCCATCCATCCATCCATCCATCCATCCATCCATCCGTCCATCCATCCGTCCGTCCGTCCATCCATCTATCCATCCATCCGTCCATCCGTCCAAGTATCCGTTTTTCCAGCCCGTATTTCCGTCTGCATCCTTTTGTCTATCTGGCCATCCGTCAATCCATCCGTCCATCTGTTATCCATCCCTTACAAGTCCACTCGTCCGTATGCCTATCGGCTGAACGTCTTCCCGTCCGTTCGTTCGTCCGTTTCTCTGTCTGTCTGTCTGTCTGTCTGTCTGTCTGTCTGTCTGTCTGTCTGTCTGTATGACTGTTTGTCTCTGCCGGTGTTCGTTTCACTCTCGTCGGATCTCTCCGAATGAAGGCCCGGACTGGCCCGGCCCGGCGCGGCCCGGCGCGGTGGTGGTGGTGCACGCCCCAGCTGCTGCCGCCCAGCGAAAGTGAACCCAGCACCGAGCACGTGTTTAGTGCACCCACGGCTCTTGGTGCCTCCCTCACAAGGACACGGGGAGTCACGGTGTAGTGTGACATGTGACCGTGACCAGGGGGCCATCAGACGGGCTGGCCGGCCGGCCATGGGTGGTCTGAAAGGGAAAGGAGCGGTGGTCTGGCCGGCCGGGGGGAGCGCCTCTGTGGGTCGGATGTTATGCATCACTGAAGTGGGTAACAAAGAATTGGAAACACGGGATGACGGTGACTCATGTTGTTCACCTCGCTGATATGCCTTGTTAGATAAGGAAAGAAATACAAAATGTGTAACAACAAAGAAAAGGATTCACTTGTTTCAAGCATCTCTTCTTTGTCCTTTTATGTGGCTTTTACCATCATTTCTTTTGTCTTTTTCCAAATCATGAAACCTCGCCCTCAGCTCCACGTCGGGTAACGCTCACCGCGAAGGACACGCCGGCTGTGCCGCCGGGCAGGCGTGCCCTGCGGGCCAGTCTAACTACAGAAAGTCTCGTCTGAATTAGCGGTCGGTTGGTAATAAATGCGTTTCAGGCAGTAAGCGGGGCAGTGAAGCGAGACCTCAATTAGCCGTGGTCGGAGCTGACGAGCGAATGACACCAGCCGATACAGTCATACATAAAATGTTTGACGGAAATGACTAGAAATAGCCCAAACTAAACATCGAAAATAAAGAAACAATACGCATCAGATCAGAGCACCATCGAGGCGCTGGCCGACGAGTACTGAGAGAATTTCCCGTGTTTTCCCTTTCAGCCGGTAACCGTCCCGTTCACAGCTGTTACGGAATCGGTGACATCTGGTAGATAACTGAGGATTACTGACGTGGTAACGGCCACAGACATGGTAACAATTGAAAGTGTCAGAACGAAAACCGCTGTCCAGACGTCACCGTAACGGTTATTGATGCTCACAGATGGCCCAACGCATGAACCATTTTCTAATAAACTAGCACGTTGTCATCCACCAAACCTGTGCGACAGGATATTAGGTATATCATTTTCCTGAAAATTAAACAAACACCTAACTAATATTTCATTTTCGTCTTAGCGTATACGTCTATCGTATGATGCATGCTTATAAGCATGCACATGACATTTCATCTGACGTTTAGGTCCGTTTCAATGCGTTTGCGTTGCGTAATGCGTTGCCGTTTTATTTAGGCATATAATTATGTAATGTGTACAATTTCAGTACCTAATAACTAGGTAACCAGTGCAGACATGGGAGGATGTCCATGAAAAGCGAAGTAGGGTTCTCAGCCATGCATGTCCACGTAATAGCGCGATAGTATGGGAAAGAATTCGTGGACATCGCGATGTCCACGAATCCCTTCATGTCCATGAAATGGAAGCAGTAGCTTAAAAATGTACACGAAACTTATGCATTTCCAACGCATGTTATTCAATAAGAACGAATTTTAAAAGAAAGCGTGAGTCGTGACAGCATGCTCAATAGTGCATCGCACCTTGAAAAATATTGAACATGAGTCATTGTCAATAAGTAACTCGTCACTATTTCAGAGATGTCGTCGACACATAAGGTATGTTTGCCTTCTCTGATACCATTTTCTCCGTTCCGTTCCAGGGCTGGCCGATGCGTGCCTCGGCGACACGTCAGCGGCGGTGGCGGAGCGGCGGTTGGGCGGGGGCGGCTCTGCTGCTGGTCTGTCTGGCCGCCCCCGCCCCCGCCCAGGCCGGCTCCGTCATCGCGCCGCCCTGGGTGGACGCCGCCCTGAACCCCTGCTCCTCAGAGAGCTGGCAGCTGGTGCGGTGGCCGGCCGACGGCCGCTGCTACCCCATCTTCCAGCAGGGGCCGTGTCCGGCCAGCCAGGAGCTGGTGTGGGACTCTGACGCCGGCCGGGCCGCATGCCGCTGTCCTGACGGCTTCCTGCTGCACGGGCCCACCCAGCGGTGCTACCGGCGCCACACGCGCGGACCGTGCCCGCTGCGTCACTCGCTGCAGGTGGACGCGGCCAGTGGAGAGGCACGCTGCCGCCGCCACGGCAAGTGTCCCCCGGGAGAGTTGTTCTGGCCACCGGACGGCCAGTGCTACCGCTACCTGAGCCGCGGCCCGTGCGGCAAGGGCGAGCTACTGACGGTCAGCCACGCCACGCTGGAACCTCAGTGCGGCTGCAGCCGGAGACTGATGGCACGCAGCTACTGGCCGCATACAGACTCGTGCTATCAACAATACACCCGCGGCCCCTGTCCGCGTGGACTCGTGTTTGCATTCAACGCCACCCGTCGACGCACGGAGTGTCACTGCCACGCCGGTCTCACGCGCAACTTTGACCCCAGCTCGGGGCAGTGTTTTGCGTTGGGCGAGCGCGGCCCCTGCCCGGTGGGGAACGAGTTCGTGTTCAATAACGTGACTGCCCGGCCCGAGTGTCGATGTCCGGACGACAGTCTGGTGCTGGCGGACAGCGGCGCCTGCTACCGAGCCTTCTCGCAGGGCCCGTGCGGCGACGGGCGGTTCGTGGCCCCGCGACCCGAGGCGCCGCACCAGGGAGTCTGTGTGCGCAACCCGTGCCGTCCCGGAGAGCTTTACTTTCCGTCTGACAAGTTTTGTCACCGGATCGGTGGACAGGGCCCGTGCCCGCTAGGACAGCTCGTGCACTACGAACAGTTCCGTGGCATCAGCTACCGCGGTGCCTGCGGCTGTGCCGAGCACTTCGAACAAAACTTCTGGCCTGAGGACGGTCAGTGCTACGAGCTGCAAACGCGCGGCCCCTGTCCACCTAACTTTACATTCCGCTTCGACGCCGACCGGAGACGCACAGAATGTGTGTGTGACCCGGAGCTGGGGCGGCTCCTGGAGGCCGACTCTGGCCGCTGTGAGCAGGTGGTGTCCGCCGCGCCGCTGCCGTGTCCGGTCGGACACGCGGACACGCGCGGCTGCCGGTGTCCGCCCGGGCTGCAGGCCGACCCGCGGACAGGCCAATGTGTCTCACCGCTGGAACGGGGAGGCCTGAGGAGCCGCCGCAGACTCACACGGTCACGTGACCACACAGAGACGGCGGACACAACGGAAGGTGACAGTCACGTGACTGGAACGAAAGTGATATCACCGCGGTGACAGAGTGATAAGTGACAGAACGTGATGACAAAACCGTACATTTGCCAGCGGTGACGATTGAATCATCATCAGCTGCGATATACCTAATACGGGCATGTTGCGTATAGGGATAAAATAGTATTAATTATCCTCATAGCAAAATATGTCAACTGCACAGCTCCATTCGCCACCAACGCAGCATCGATCTATGTAGTTAGCTTGGAACATCCATGTTGTAAAATATTTCATCGAATGCAGTGCGTAATTGATTGTGGCTTATAATCACATCCAATGGTACCCATGTGTTTGGGAAAAGCGTATCTTCCTATTTGTGAAGTTCTGCCACCGGATCGGCTGCCGTGATCATAATCACAAAGCTGATCTAATGTGAAAGCAATTATCATAAATATATATAACCAAACGTATGAGTCTAAAAACCGAAAAAGTAGTACAAAAGTCGCCTGCACTGCTGGAGTCCTGTTCGTCGGTGGTCTCCACGGTGGTGGAAACAACACCAACGACGTCGCGGTCTCTACCGACGCGCCGGCCCGGTCCCTCCCTCCGAGTGGAGGACGCGAGGCCCACTGTTCAGCCGACGGTCAGCGGCGCAGGGCCCTTCACGAGGCCGGGATTCGACGGGCGCCGACACATCAGCTGCTAGGCGAGTCCGAATAATGCACTGCGACCGAAGATGCACTGCTCTTGATATAACTCAGTAAACTTAATATAATTCATACCCTCCCTTCACGACTTGTCGATAAAACGATTCACACCGTGTGATTTAGGTGGGCCCCCTGGAGTTCTCGCCCCTGTGCAAATTTAATTGCTCTAGGTCAATATTTAGGGGGGTTTTGGGGGGCATAAATGTAAAAATTTCGCCAAAAACAGGTCAAACATTTTTCGCTTATAACTTTTGATCTAATTAAGATAGAGAAAAAAGAAAAGCACCAGTGAAGTCAGCACGTCAAGGCGCGTCGAATGATATACTTTTCTGCTTGCTTAACTGTACTTAAAGTTTTCTTAATTTTTAAGTAAACTTTAATTAATTAATTAAGTTCAAGTTAACCAAATTGCAACATATCGCATATCATTCGATTAGGCTAATCACCAGGATAGGAACACAATGACACTATTTTTAAAGCTCTATAGCGTCATTATGTGCCAAGTTATTGGCAAGAACGTCATTTGCCCTCAGCTGACCTCATTTGACCTGACCCATCGATAAGTACACCAAAAAAAGAAGTACCAAGTGACCTGCTGTTAAGCACTGTGGTTTTAAAACACAAAGTGATAGAACGAAGCGGATATCTCTAGTATTTTCTGAATTTAGTATTTTCCCATAGGCTTAACATAACGACTTAATGACCTCTAACTGACCTCAGGTCAGTGACATAAAAAAACCCTAACTATCTGTTATACAACTCGGTGAACTTAGAACATCCTTAAAGTTTGAAGGACATCAGTCAAAAACTGAGTTGGACAGGTGCAAAAAGAAAATTGATATTTGACCATGACCTTGTACCGGTTTTCTGACCTGGTAACCTGACCCAAGATCACCCGGACCTGAAATTTGCAGGCCATATGTAAAAAGGGTGCCCCATAGGCTGTGCCAAATTTGGCAGCGACGTTTTTACGCTATTTTTAAAATTTTTTATGACCTGACCTGATATTTTTATGACCTGACCTGACCTGACCCGACCTGGTCTAAATGCTTAAAGACATGATCTACGATCCAAACTAACACGATATTCGTGATCAGCACCCCGAAAAACCTCATAGCAGCCACAATTTACGACTTTCTAACAGGTCCCGATTTTCCCGACTTTTGGGTCATTGACCTGACCTGGAAGGTCAACCAATGACCTAGGACCTTAAAATTGGGTATCATCGGCTTCCTCTCGTCACGGGCAACACGCCCGTTTTTTCGCGAAGCTCTAGCTCGATCAGGGGCCAAACGGAAGGGGGGGGTCCAACCGACCCCCCTCCCCCTACACGTTAGAAGCTGGCAAACGCCGCACATATGCAAGGGTTAATTAGAAGTTCCACTTCACTACCCTCTTCCCTTGTTCATCCAACCACCCGCCAAGGCGTGATATATCAGTTAGATGCATTTATCTTTCTAAATATTTCACGAGAAATTAGATACCACCACCACTTCCCCATACCAGACTATTAGAATTCTTCCTTTGACCAGGACCGCGGAGTCGGGTCAGACGGACGTCTCACACTCCGCCGGTCTGACGGTACTCGTTGGTACTCTTTCCAGCGATGGTGGTCGGCGGCGCCGCGCTGGCGCTACTGCTGGCGGCGGCCGCCTCGCTGGCCTGCTTAGAAATCCCCGACTACCGCGGCTCTCCATCGGACACGGAGGCGTTCGCCCGCTGGACGCTGGACTCGAGCACAGGCGGCGGAGGCGGCTCGTGCCGATGCTGCGGCCTCTGCAACGGGAGGACAGAGTGCAGCGCCCTCTCCTACCGACCCGACACGCGGCAGTGCCTCCTCTTCAGCAAGGTGGCCTCCTACAGCAACTTCGAGGTAATATGGCGACGCCGCGCACCGGCCGAACAGCCGTATACCTACATAATGTGTGAGCTATGAAACAAAACATGGCATCGTACAAGGACTGTTTTATATTATTACTTCTTTTTAACCCGGCAGGCGGTGGGCCTCCCAGCCACCTTCCCCGCGGTGGGGGGGGGGGCAGTTTTTGCCCCCCTCGTATCTCCGAAACTACTGGACGGATCCGAAAAATTCAAACGGCGTTCGATAGCCCTGTCAAATTTGTCGAAGGAAACCAAATTTCATTAACCTCAGGGTCACCGATGACGTCACAGGTCAGGTCAAAGATAAAATGTTTCACCGTTCACGGGGCTTCTAGGGAAAGCGCTATAACACCGAGTAAAACGCTTTTTGTCGAAAATCAGCGATAAGGCGTCAGTTGTCTAGTGCATATGTTTCTATTAGAGGTCATTGGTCCTACCAGGTCAGGTCACAGGTCAGGTCACCAAAGGTCACCAAGGGTCACCACATGAACCCAACTTTACTAAGGTTGTGCGATGCATGTTTTATGGCCAGTTTTTCATTTCCAACTCAATGGTATTGATTATAAGACCATCAGGTACGGTTTAGGTCACTTTCTGGTGGAGGTCAGGTCAAGGTCAGGTCAAAAAAGGTCAAATTTCAAAGTTGATAATTTTGCATAAAATGGGTATGGATTCGATGCAGCTCGTCACGGGGAGTCTAATGGTGGTCTTTGTTTTACGCTACGAGGTCTAGAATTGCTAAAAATTGAGTTTGAAAATTCGACGTCATCAATTTTGAAGTTTTTTCGCTATAACTTGGCCAAAAAAAAGAGGTATTGATCTCAAATTTGGTATGTAGATAGAAGGCGGTAGAGACTATCACATATATTCCGGTTTTTTTCGAAATTCAAAAAACTTTTTGGATTTTTCGGCTATTATTTTCAAAAAATATATTTTTTTATTTTTGGGGGTCAAAATCTAAAAAATACAAGAAACCGAAATAGCAGTTTTGTAGCCCTATTGATTCCACACCTTTTATGTCTGGAACATTTTTCTGTACCTATCTCTAAAGCTGTAGGCCTGACAGCTCTTCCAGCGAAACCTTTTTTTGGGGTCGAAAATGGCAAAAATGACGTCACTCTGACGTCATTAGCGGCCAACCTATCATAGCCTTTGGGAAAATGTTTGGTCACCATGTGCGCTAGCTACTCCCGGGAGGGTACTGAAAGTTTGGTGACGATCGGCGCAGCGGTTCTCGAGATATATCGAAAAAACTAAAGGGGGGCAAAAAATGCCCCCCCCCCCCCCACCGCCTGGAAGGTTAAGTACTAACAAAGAATACTTGATTGACAGACGGCATATGCCTACATTTTGCGTGCATAGGTACACTTCTCACTTATGTCGAGCTAGAGAAGTTTGTCTTTTTGTAAAACTGAGGCGCCGAGTGAGTCTCCACGCTCTGTTCACAGCGGAGTTTCGAGCAGGGTGGACCAAAGTACTTCATAATGCCGGGCCGCTCGGAGCGCGACCAGTTCTGCCGGCAGTCGTCGGACTGTACGGACTCGACCCTCAGCTGCATCGGCCACATCTGCACCGACGACCCGACCATCACCTGCCGGGACGTGCTCACTCTGCGCGGCGGAGACGCTCCTCTGGAGGGGTTCCACTGGGGCGCCATCACTGGCCGCACACTGCCCCTCAACTGCGCCCTGGACGGCTTCACCCTGCTCATGAAGGCCTCCGCATACGGCTTGACCTGGAGCAGCGACAACTGGAAGAGTCACAGTCACCCTCCCGCTGATCCCCGTCATGAATTCCAGCATGAAGCCTACTCCATCATGGCCGAGGCTGAGCTGATCCGCGACTCGGCCGCAGAGAAGCACTTTCAGATAATGCTCAGGGGCTGGTACTCCGACTCCATGGGCGGTGGCTACTTTGAGGGCCTGAATATGACCCTCGAACGGTCCACGCCACTTCTTGCCACCTCCCCTCCCGACCCGGCACTGGTCCTCGAAATACAGGCGCTCGGAGAGAAGAGTTCCATCAATGGAACACAGCAAGTTTGCCACCAGAACAAGTGCCAATGGACGGTGCATGGCGTGCTGACAGTCCCCTATCAACACGGACCCGTATACCTCCTGACGACAAACACCAATCCGTACATAGAATCAGACACTGGTCCGTTCCACGATTATGGCACACTCATTAACGCGTACGGCGATCTGCGCTGGATGTTCTTTTCATTCGTTTACAATCATCAACCCGACTACGTCCAGTATCACATCGGAGAGTGAGGCGATGAAGCTATGCGCAACACGCGTCGCATGCCGATCCGTTTAGTTTTGGCATGGGCCCTTTTTCTCTCCAAGCATGTTCTTGAAATGGAGAAACGACCCTCTACACAGGAATAGCCTTCAAGCACGGGGATGCACTCGCCGCTAGTGCCAGCGATTGGCAATTATCGTAATAGACCCAGCCATTGCGAAGATATTGTGATCGGAGCAATTCTGATAGTTGACTCGGCTGATGCCATGAATCACCCACTTACATCCAAATTAGTCAGTTTAGTCAAGGGATTAGAGAGGTGTTATCTGACGTTGTTTCCTACAATATTTAAGTGACATTGGATCATGCTGTTTCGAAGCAATTAGCGGCATTAAAATTGCTCAAAAGCTATGCACCTGTGCCTGTAGAATCGGCTAGAGGAATATGGCGTACCACCGCGTTCGGGACAGTCTGTTTACTACGATCTTCAGCCACCAACCGTCCAAAGACTTGCGCCAAGACACCAGGATAGCAGACAGTGAGCGAACAGCGTGCCGGGACAGCGGAAAACGCTCCGGGACAGCGGGCGTCTGCAACAATCACCGACTGTTCCTTCTGTCATCGCCCGCTCGCATGCCCCAGCCCCACCCCACAGTGTGCTGTTAGTGATTGGATGTCGCCGGCACGCCAAGGAAGACGAGGCGCTAGTTTGACGGCGCGAGTGGAGCGACGAATGCGTCCTTCGAAGAGACGGTGTCACGCGATCGGGAATCACTGCACTGTGTTTGATGGACATAAATCTATACGCTCATGAATTGAGTGACCCGTCTACTAGCGTGATAGCACACACACACGAGGCTGCCTGTGATTAGCGAACGACTAGTTTAAATGTGAGCTGCAATTGTATGTGAAATAAAGTTGCGTAATTTATGGGGACACACAATCTTCAGCACGCTAAGACCCCAATTCATCGTTAGTCGTTTTAAAGTAGAACTTTAGATTGGTTCTGAATTACATACTACATATGAAATAAATGGACCTGTATGAGAACACGCATTTATTCCCGGGTATTCCATAGATCACATCAAACATAAGATTTAATGTTGATACCATATATATGTAGAGCTGGACCGCGCTCAGGGCATAGAGGGCGGCACTTACAGCGGCCACGTCACCCCGTATCACATCCTCCACAATCACGACTGGATGTGTACGTTAATTACCCAGCTAAAGCGGCACCACACCTCCCTGCAGAGCAGCCGAACTGTGATCATACACACACTCATCAACGCGGGTCATTGATCACCACTGCAGTCGATAATTGTAGTCCCACTTCGTCCCACACCATACACAGACCAAACGCGTGTCTCAGTCAATTCACTCCTTCGCAATAAACACAAGCTCCGTCGATAGTGTGGAGCGTCAACAAAACAAACACAGACAGAAGAGTAGCCAAGCTTCGGCCAGCTGGTCCCAGGGCGACAGGCCGGTTGGCCGTGGAGAGCCCCGGGACGCCGGCGCCGGCCAGGCCGGCGGTGCAGCGCATAGCAGCCTGTCGTTCTCGCCGGCACGACCCCGATCGGTCACTCATAGCCACTCGAGGAGCAGTACCGACCAGGGGCGCCCCGTGACATCACTTTTCCGTGGTGACACAACTTTGCCGCAATCTGGGGCTCAGTTTTCAGTAGCAAGAAATAAACGGCACCTCACGGTGAGGCGCAGTCCGGTAGGTGTTACCACTGAGTCCACACCTGCCAGTATTATCCAGCAGCGGTGCTGACACGTCACTTTTTCGCCTGCAGCGCATTCGCTAGCCAGTCCATGGCTTGATCGAGACCCTCACCCTTGATGGCGGATGTCTTGAAAATCTGGAATGTACGAGTTTTGAGCGCCTCGAGGCCGAGCGCGGAGTAGACCTCGGCCACGGACATGGCGCCCTCCATATCCTGTTTGTTGGCGAGCACGGCGAGCACGGCGCCGCGCAGCTCCTCCTCCTGCGGCACGGGCGGGCCGTGATGGGAGAGAGAAGCAAACCAGGGGAGAGATAGGGATAGGACTAGTGGTGGGCAGGAAAGAGTGGGAAAATAGAAACGAAACTGGTGGGCTAACGATGAGGGGAGAGCGGGACGGAGCCGGGATGGACGGGAAATGACCCGAGAGACTAACGGTGAACGGTGACGGGAGAGATACGAGTACGTGAAAAAGTACTAGAAAAATGGCGCTATCAATCAGGCTAAAGTCATCATATTTTACCTGCTACGAGCTTGCCACTGCAGCCCACGCCTCCCCTCCCCAGCATAAGATGATCTTAACTCAGCTATGGCATCCATATCCAACTGTGGTTTAATATTTGAAACTCCATTGAAAGTTCCAAACTATTCATAGGCAAATTCGTCTGCGACTAACGTTGGACAGATTTTTTTGTCAGAAACTTGGATTAATTTAAAGAGATTTATCATTATAGAAATATGCCGCTAAATCTCTGTCATACACTCCATAAGTCTCCTTCAGGATAGGAAATACAGCCCACGTACGATTTCCTCAACGGCATAATTTCCTTCTTCTCACACCGGTAATTGATTGCTATCTAAGTGCACATCTAGCATTTATGTCAAACTCCCACGAATAATTTCCATTACCTTTACGACGCCAATCTTTACGACGTCAATACTCATTCATGCAGCCAAACCGAGATTACGACTGCTTGCCACCACCAACTATAAAACCGATCACATAACCAAAGTCGTAGGACGTAGGTGCGAGCGTAGAGTTCAGACGATCTGCCCTCCCTTTCCTCCTGCCAGGTCGCCGTCTGCCCGATCCTTTCGGCACACACTTACCTCGAGCATTGAGACCAGCTCCTGTTTAGAGATGCCCATCCGATCACGGTCGGCCGAGTCCACTACGTAGATAATGGCGTCTGTATTGGAGTAGTAGCAACGCCAGTAAGGCCTGTAAACGGGGCCAGATGGTTGGCGGCGTTCTTATCGTGCTTTTATTGTCAATTTACGTGATGACATTTTGTTGCGATAAACTGTCGGCCGGAAGTAGCATAAACCGCCTGTAAACGCCAGAAGAGTCCATCCATGCTTTGCACCGGCCCATCAAAGACATCCCATACCACCCCATCACAGTCAGAAAACCCAGCTGCTCAGCAGTCCACGAGTATCACAATGCAACACTGTTCACTCACCTAATACTTGTCTGTCCACCAAGGTCCCAGACCTGGAACTTGAGGTTGTTGTAGGTCACCTGCTCTACGTTGAAGCCAATGGTGGGAATCGTGGTCACCACCTCGCCAACCTGCAGCCTGTGAGTGGGGACAGGACAGTCAGGTGACATCACCTGTCACTTGTCAGTACATCGGCAGGGCTTGGCATCTCTATCTTGATTTGAAGAAGAGTCTTCAAACCAGTTGAAAGATGTAACTGTCTGAGTTATTTCACTTTTATGCATCACTAAAAATGTTTAACTCTTAAGTGCAGCTAAGTATGTTGTGTGTTCTATGGTGAGACTGCAAAGTAAGTACAAACCTGTACAGAATAGTGGTTTTTCCTGCTCCATCCAGTCCCAAGATGAGTATTCTCATTTCCCTGCTACCAAACAGACCCTGGAAGTAGCTCAACAGACCACCTGAAAGGAAAAACAAGCAGATTGTACATTGGCTTTTAAAGGAATACATTGAACAACGGTTCAGAACACATAAAAAATGTTTTAATGACAGGGTGTCCATCTTTCCTACACTTTCCTTCCATCTACCTTTCTCAACTCTGGCAACTCCACCAAGTATCAATCAGTGAGTTAACCGACAGTAGGTGTGCCGTCATTTCTCAAATCCATTTCCCCTCTTAGCCAAAAATTGATGTATGCTTTTAGAAAAATGTCCTTAAAAATCAAATCATCTCATCAAAATCATAAAATGAAGTGAACGCACGGGCATAATAAAGTTAAAAGAAGAGTCTATCTAACAATGCATAAAAACAAGATCCTTACCCATTCTTGTAGGCAATTTTTGGTGGCCTGAAGTATTTGAAGTGGCCTTTAATATTTTCAGGCAACGCCTGAAATCTCACAATGCAAAAAAAACTCAGCAGCGCTTCCACCTATATGATGAACCGGTTCCAGTTCAAGTTCCGTTTCTCTACGCGCATCAGATCTTGTAATAGCAAATATAGAGCCAATTAGAAAGGTAAAACTGGATTTAACTACGCGATAGAGGCCTTTGACCGCTGAATCACTTGATTTTCTGACATATAATCCCACAAAACTAAAAACCGCCTCCGCTACGCGCAAGAAGCACATATAACCAGGCCCATGTCGTCCCCTATCTCCGCGTGTGTCCACTAACACGAATGACGTCACGCATGTGGGCGGAGCTATGGGCGGAGCCTAACGCACGCGGCAGTCCAAGCCGCCATATTTGAATTTATATTTTAATAGAATCTTGCCGATATTTTGGGTGAAGTCAATTTATATGGATAGCTTGGTGACAGTTTAGCTATACGAATAATAATTTATTATGGATGTGCGTATATTCAGCTTGGAATTGCAATTAAAGTTCCGCACCGCATAGATTCGAACTCGGGACCTTTGGGATACTGCGCGGGCACGCTAACCACAACACTACCGCGACCGCGCGGCGGCCGGCGGCAGGGAGGCTGCGGAGACATGGGGGGACATTTTACGCTTTTGTGAAAAAAGCAAAAGATTTAGCGAAAAACACGTAATAGATAACTTGCAGAAAATTGTCTGCTCTTTCAGATAAGATACTTAGGTTTGATATATCTTGTGCAGACTTCATTCTACAGTGCTTCGAAAATCGCTCATTTACATGGGGATTGAACGGGGCTTCGAGACTTGACTCCAAATGACGTCACGAGCTGACGTCACGAAAAGGTAGAATCGCCGGACGACCCTACCTGGTATATAGGGCCTTGCATATAACATGGAATTGTAAATAATCAGTAAGATTGGTCAGCATCAGGAGAAGTGCCCTCAGCAAACTCTGCCAACTGATTCACCCACCATGTGACGTCATTGAAACTTCAAAAAGCTATCATCAAATCCATTTGAAACGCAAAACTAGCCTTTTTATGCCTTCCCCAGTCAAAATATAGCAAGGCAGAAACTATTAATCTGGGGTAAAGGGTACAAAAATGACAATAAATCTGAAAAAAGTGATGATTTTTCGCTCAAGGTAAAAAAATTTATGATGTCATCCTAAGGAATGATTATTTTACAAATAACGCCACGCAATAAATAGAACTGTCTGTTATTATGACGCGCAGGAAACAAAATATTATTGTTCAATTTTTCTTTGTCAACAGACTGATAGCATACTAAGCAAATCAGCTACGAGGACAGCATTTTTGTGTGCTCGTCGTTTTCACAATGATATTTCTTGAATACTATCTAGAAAACAAACTAGAGAATATACTGATCCATTCATTCTTGTCGTTTTGTTATTGTTTTTACATGTCAATGTCGGATGTGGTTTCGGGTTTTATATACCTTGGATTTCGGAAAAGTTAATGAAATGGGCCATTGTAATAGATTTAGCAACTGCTCATACCAAAGGAAACAATGATAAATTGACTGATTATCAGATGTACACAAGAAGCATCAAATGTATATACCTACCTGTCTTCTTTGTTGTTATTGCTGGTGAGTTAAGTGGTAGCTGCCCTTACCAGGGGGTAAATATGAAGATGATGTCCGAGTGGTATGTAGAATGGTATGTTGTAGGTTGATTGGTACCTAGTGGGTTAGTAGGTTGGAGGTATGTAGGTTGAATTGAAGGTTAGTAGGTACCTACCCACCATTCACCAAGATGGCTGATTGGCCATCTAGTCAGGTTCTAAAGATGCTTGGTGAATGAGCTGGCCTCCCAGTCAGCAAATTTTGTCTGTGCCATGGCTGGTTTTACTCTGGCTAGCTCCGGAATTTGCTCCAGCTAAAGTACGGGCAAAGTCTGGGGCTCAACTGGAGCCGACACGCAATCCCGGAGCTTGCCTGCACCACAGCTGGACTTACGCTGCATCAGCTGTGCCATAGGCATCTCAACCGTATTTCAACCACAATAAGCCAGAGCAGCTACAAGGCAGCCGGACCTGGCCGTAGAGAGCCTGACTTGAGCCAGACTTGGGGGTCCGAATCCATACCAACTCAGGAGCGCTACGGCAAAGGCTGGCTAACCAGAATATGCTCATATGGACCCAAACCCTGGCTCTGACAGCATTTTGTTTACACCATCCCAAATCTGACATGTCACTTGTCAGAGCTGCCAGGGCAAAATGGACTTGAGCCAAACCAAATTGCTGGCCGGGCTACAGCCTTGGTTTGCAGCTCAGTTCAGTCATTTGCTATTTGAATGGTAGAAGCTAACCCCCTGGACTTTGCTGACCTGATTCTGTTTCTGGCTGTAAATTTGGCATCTGACATTGCTCTGACTGTCATTCCAGCATGGCTGCGCCAGGCATCAGGGCAACTTCCTGATGTGTACCAGCAAGGTGTGCTGCAGCCTTACACCAGCTACTCTGATGTGACCCTTTTCAAGTTCCATGTGCCACCAGCTACAGCCAGAGGCCGCTGGCAGTTTGCTGCAGTACATGATGATCCCAGCTGCCAGGCCAGGCAGGTGCATGTGTAAGTAGGTATCTGTTTAAGGGATGAGGGTAGATGCACTGAGCTTCCATTGTAAGAATATGACATACCTGCCTGAATGTGACTGTACTTTTGCATCTTGGCATCGATTGGGTGCAATAATAGGTCGAAATCTTTTACTAATTATTAACAGCAGTATTCATTATAAGATACAAACTGACCAGTTTTTTTGTCTCGACAGTTTTCTGCAGTATGGCAGTTACCCTGTGATTAACCACGGGAATGGCTCGGCCCTGTTCGACCGAGGTGCCTCTCTCCGGCGGCTGACAGTGGTCAGCACTCCCCAGCCTCATCCTGCCACTGAGCTCACTGTGGAGGCCCCCCAGCCGGGCCAGTGGTATGCTGCTGCGTACATCGCCGATGCGGATCGAACGGTATCACAGCAGGTGAGTTTGTTCCCAATGCTGATTGCCCGTCGCTGTCGTGGAATTCGACGAAAATAGTCAGGTCAGATGGATGACAGCGTTTATCGTCGGAAAACGTAGGCTTTTATCGTGGGTGTCGGAAACGTTGGTACGCGGTCAGGCGGAAAGACGGTTACTTTCCGACGAGCACGCCTGGAACGTATCTGACATCATGCGGCAATTTGAAGTTGCATAGGAATTTAGAACATCTCTTTTGATTCGATGTAATCTCTCTGTGTTGATATGCACGCGGTTTGCCTAGCACTGTCCAGCTTCAAGGCTCTACCCAGTACCCAGTCACCATCATTGTTCATCATTCCCCATCACATCCATTGCCTCTCGAATACCTCAGAATCTGACGGATCCTGCTCCCCCACCCCCAGGGCCTCAGCCACCGCTGCCAGTACAGCCTGGGCTCGATCGGGTACTGGCGTCAGGAGACCCCGCAGCTGCTGCCCGTCAATCAGCCGGTCAGCGTCCTCACCATCGCCAGACAGTCGTTCTTTAGGTGAGCTGGATTCGTTGTGAGAGGAGAGCTTCTGTTTTACAATTGTCTGACGGTCTTAGTTTGGTTGAGATGGCGGGTACGGCTCTGGAGAAGACGCGGTGTCCATGGATGGTTGATTCCGTTATATTCACATGCTTTCGTGACATTCACATTTCGTCACATCACATGACATCACATTCAACTCTGCTGTCTGCCATAAGGGCAAACCTTGATATTATGGTTATCGATGAGAGTATTGAATTCGACACCGATGTTCGCGATTGGTTTTGTGTTTTCGCGCAAATGCGGTGTCTGCACTAGTTAGTAATATAACGATCGGCAATTACTCCCTCCCGTCAGGTTTTTCGTTCCATCCGGCGTCGAGTCAGTGTCAGTGTCGGTGTCGGGGTGTCGACCGGCGAACTCCGCAGGACCGCCCCCCGACGCCGTCCACCCCTGTCTGGCCTGGGTCGGTCTGAGGCCGAGCGCCCTCCCCAATGGACAGGCCGCCACAGGTGGGTGTGCAGCGGACTGGACTGTGTTGGTCCTACTGAGTATGGCTCTCATGGAGACACCAGACACTCGTAGAACAAGGTTTTTGTCGAGACTGTTTTTGTCTTCACGGTTGTCACGTATCAACATCAGCTCCAAATTGCGTTTATCGGGATTTGTCGTTCATTGACAACCGATCCATCATTACAGTTTTGTTTACTAGGGTTCATCACCGTCACATGACTGAATTTCTGCCCTCTCCGCACAGACGGTGACCATCTGTCGTGGGACGGCGGTCCGCCTCAGTGGAGTGTCTCCGGGCTGCAGTCGGGAGCCACTCACACCCTGCGACCGGAGCTGCTCTGGCACGACGTCTACTATTACCTCGCACTGGTGGCTGATAATAGCGCCGAGCTCACCGTTACTGTTACATTGAGACGTGAGTCACCGTCGCATTCAGGCGTGTTTTACCGTCGCACCCTGACACGAGCTGCGAACATGGTAGGTTGGCGAATTTAGGTCCTATTTTGGCTTTTGGCTTTGGCGACCGGCTGTTTTTTTTTTTTTTAGAGATGGGAGTGTCGTTTTTTCCGAATTTCATCCAGCTTCAAGTATGTGTCTTAGAACATTCATGTAGCTGCATAAATACTCCGTACCGTCGATTTAGCTCACCGCACCCCGTCTTTCTCCCTCAGAATGCGAGTTTCTGACGACGGACGGCCGACCGCCGGCCGCTGACGTCACCACTACTCAGCTGGCGAACCGGTCACATGTCGCGGGCCCTCCGCCAGAGCGGTGCGCCCCACTGACCCGTCTGACCCGGGTTCAGTACGCTCAGGACTTCACTGACACGTTCCTGGCTGTGGTGAGCTAGACTTTTTTACTTTTTTCTTAAGTAACTTAACTACTTAATCGTGCATCTTGCACTGCAGCTGCATGAGAGTTTCTCACGCTACAGCAATATTACTGAGTTGACGATCAGGTTGCACCAGTTGGAGAAATGAGAGAGCTTATCGCTATATGTATTTGTTCTTTGGATGTCTTCCGTAATAATATTTTGTATCGCCACTAACCATTGTCCTTTCTGCTTTGCTCCTCAGAATGCCGCCTTCTACCACACGTGGCTGGCACTTACGGAGAGGAGGATCAGCTCTGTCACGTTCGAGACACATGAGTTCGAGGATATCGGTGGTACTCTGTACGTCGATTTGAGGCTCAGCAAACTCATCATGGTGAGAGGGGTTTAGGGTGCGGTAAAGATATAGCATGGAACAAATGGCTTTCAGGATTAAGATGGTGTTTTGTGTTGACTGACTACATATTTATTTACTTATTTATTTATTTATTGCACTTCTTAGGTTCATTCCACACATAGACTGGGTCACATAGACTGGGACTGGAGTTTCCGCCATCTCAGACCTGGTGTTTCTAGGCGGCTTACGTCAATTAGACGTCCTGTTGACAGTTCAGTTTTGTGCGCTTTTGGGCATGACGTGTGATGTACCTAAGTACAGTCCACGGCATAAGTAATGCGCGGTTTCAGTCCTGGGTATGTTCTGCTTCTGAAGCTTAGGAATGATTAGCCAGACCACAGTGAAACTTTGAATGTAGCTAACCTGTATCGTTAGTCGTTACCCTTGCAGCTGCAACTTTATCTATTGACGTCTTCTTTTCGATCACTCCGCATTAAAATTCGCCAGTCAAAGCCATCCGTTGAGATTGGTAAAACCGACCCCCACCAAACACGATTTGGCAGCACTGCAAAGACGTCTGCTGGGCGTGAAGTTTTCCCTTCACCATAGGGTTTACACACAAACTGGTCAAAGTTTGAGCCAGGATATACTAGTCTAAAAATGCAAAAAACGAACAAATTTTGGCATCAATAGATTCAGCATTTCATCGTGTGACTCAAACCGTCCATCATTTGGCCTCAAAGGAGGTAAAAATTGTTCAAAATCGAAGTTGAAAAGATGCTTTCTGAGCACATAATCTGGTAGCAATCTTGTGACCTGCTATAAGCAGCTTATCGATAATTTACAAACATAATTATTAATATGCTGCTTTAAACAACATTAATCATTCATTTTGAGCTTTCAGTACTTTAACCCGCGCCCCACTGGGGGGGGGGCTATTTATAGCCCCCCCTCCCGTTTTTCTGCAATAACTTCCAAACCGTTTGACGGATCGACGCCAAACTTTCAGTACCTTCGGCTGCATCAATTTGACACCTTGTGTCAAAATTTGAACTTCGTAGCTACCATAGGTCGGCCGGAAATGACGTCAGAGTGACGTCATGTTCGTCCGATTTCGACGCAAAACATTGAACCACGGCAATCGATCCCAAGAGCTCAGTTTTTAAGCTAGATCCAATTTCTTTGCATGAAAAGGACTCAGAATTGACCGCGCTATCAAACTGCTATCTCGGATTTTCAAAATTTTGAAAATTTCGAAAATTATATATAATAATATTCAAAATTCATATTTTTATATTTTTTTCAAAATTTTTTTGACTTTTCGAAAAAACCGGAATATATGTGACAGAATGCATGATTATGACTAACTCTAGCAAGTTTTAGCTTAATATCTTCAAAAATGGCCAAGTTATACGCATTATTGCAAAAAATTCAAAATTATTAATTTTTCAAATCAATTTTTCAGTACGTATTTGACATCGTACACCAATATAAATGGCACCATCGTGTTCCTGAGCTCAAACTGCATCCAATAGACACCTTTTTTGTTGAAAAAATTTTAACTTCAAAATTTGACCTTTTTTGACCTGAAAGTGACCTGATCTAAGCTAAATTCGACTCAAAATGACCTCGAATGACACGGAAGACATCAAATTCGAAATCTGTGGCCTAAATGGACCATAAAACATGTGTCACGTGACCGACGCATGATATAATATTTTCGTGACCTGTGATGACCTGACCCTGACCTGAAAATCAAAGTACAAGTTTAGTACCCTCAAGGTATCTAGAGCATCTGTTCACGAGTGTGGAAACCAAAAATGAGCCTGATCTGACTTGTAAGACGGCGGCCAGAGCCCAAAATGTGAACAAGCCAAAATGCTAATAATTTTTACTTTGACCTGACCTGTGACGTCATCGGTGACCTCGAGGTCAATGAAATTAGGTTTCGCTCGACAGTTTTTCCGGGGCTATCAGACGCCGTTTGAATTTTGACGATCGGCCCAGTAGTTTCGGAGTTAGGAGGGGGGGGCTATGAATAGCCCCCCCCCCCCCCCAGTAGGGCGTGTTATACACAGACCCCAGTGGGGCGCGGGTTAAATAAGGTCAAAACATCGCAAAACACAAAAGTTAATACAATAGTCACGTGGGTGTCAGGAAATGTCACAGGTGCGTCAAATTTGTGACTGGGGCTTTACTTTCAAACATCGGATCTACCTGTTTCTTATAGGTATCTTGGGTAAAACCGCACATTACTTTAGTGGTGGGCTGTACCTTATCGGTCTGTTTAAATGCAATTAGGTGATTCAGGCCAGGCGATGACACTCCCCCTCAGTGGCGGTCGCAGGGGGGGGGGCCATCAGGGCCATGGCCCCCCCCCCCCCAAAGGCAAATCAGGGGGGGCCATCATATCATTTGGCCCCCCCCCAAACAACCGATGGGCCCCCATGGCCGTATGGGGCCCTGGCCCGTATTCGATTGTCACGAGGCTCGAGAAACCCTCGCCAGCTATTAGCAGCTCCCATACCAGTCTTTGGGGGTCCTACACTGACCTCTGAGGGCCCTTCAGTGGCGGTCAAGCGTCCACCTTGACCGCTGAGGACCCGTATTGACCTCTGAGGGCCCTCCACTGGCCTTTGAGGGCCCCTAAACCGGCCTCAGGGGCCCAACCGGCGTCTGAGAGCCTCACACCGGCCTCTGGTGGCCTCATTTCTGTCTCTCGAGTCCCAAGACTAGCCTTTAAAGTGTCTCTGAGGGCCCCGCACTGGATTCTGAAGACCAGATGTCGAGCCAGCATCGGCCTCTGGGGGCCCATCTTGGCCTTTGAGGGCCCTCCGCTGGTCTCTGGGGTCCAACGCCGGCCCATGCCGGCCTTTTAGGGCCCCACACTGACCTCTAAGGGCCCATGCTGGACTGTAAGGATCCACATTAGCCTCTGAGGGCCCCCCGCACTGGATTCTGATGACCCAATGCCGGCCGCTCAGGGCCCGCATCGGCGTCTGAGGGCCCATCTTGGCCTTTGAGGGCCCTCCGCTGGCCTCTGGGGTCCAACGCCGGCCCATGCCGGTCTCTTAGGGCCCCACACTGACCTCTGAGGGCCCATGCTGACCTGTAAGGATACACATTAGCCTCTATGGGCCCCACACTGGATTCTGAAGACCCGATGCCGGCCTCTAAGGGTCCGCATCGGCCTCTGAAGGCCCATCTTGGCCTTTGAGGGCCCTCTGCTGGCCTCTAGGGTCCAACGCCGGCCAATGCCAGTCTTTTAGGGTCCCATTCTGATCTTTGAGGGCCTCATGCTGGCCTGTAAGGGCCTCCGAGAGCCCCCCGCACTGGATTCTGAAGACCCGATGCCGGCCTCTAAGGGTCAGCATCGGCTTCTGCGGGCCCATCTTGGCCTTTGAGGGCCTTCTGTTGGCCTCTAGGGTCCAACGCCGGCCCATACCGGTCTTTTAGGGCCCCACACTGACCTCTGAGGGCCCGTGCTGGCCTGTAAGGACCCACCTTAGCCTCTGAGGGCCCCGCACGGGCTTCTGAAGACCTGATGCCGGCCTCTAAGGGCCCGCATCGGCCTAGTCTGAGGGCCCATATTGGCCTTTGAGGACCCTCTTCTGGCCTCTGGGGTCCAACGCCGGCCCATGTCGTTTTTTTAGGGCCCCACCCTAACCTCTGAGGGTTCCATGCTGGCCTGTAAGAACCCATATTAGCCTCTGAGGGCCCAATTCGGTCTCTGGTGGTCTCAAACTGCCCTTTGCAGGCCCTGTACTGGTCTCTGAGGGCTCTAAACTGGCCCTTAAGAGCCCAAACCAGCCTCTAAAGGTCCCACGACCCACACCGGCCTCTGATGGTCCCATTTCTGTCTCTGGGACCGAAACTGCCCTTATGTGCCTCTGAGGGCCCCGTACTGGCTTCTGAAGGATCGATGCCGGCTTCTGAGGACCCATGCCGGTCTTTAAGTGCCTCATAGCGACACCTGAGGCCCCACACTAGCCTCTGAGGGGCCCGCAAACTGGCCTATGAGGTCTCTACACCGGCCACTGATGGCCCTATGATGTTCTCTGAGGGGCTCAAGCCTTACCTTTGGGCGTCACGCACTTGCTTATGAAGGCCCACATCAGCCTCTGGGGCCCTACCTGGGGCCTTTGAGGCCCTTCGCTGACCTTTGGGTCCAACGCCGGCCTCTGGGGGTCTGACACCGTACCTACTCTAAGGGCCCCATTGCAGCCTCTAGGCGATAGGTATTGCCGAAGCGCTATCGATGGGCCCATAAGTGTAGGAACCATGGGTACAGTGGGCGTAGTTGCACCAACAATAATTCTGCAGTGAGTGCAGACAATGTATTCTGCATCCACAATAATCTGGAACAAAATCCCCTTTCCTCAGCAACACTACTTTCCATGCAGCACGACAAATTTGAGATATTTTGCCCAATATCCGTCTTTCGAAGCATTTGCTACTGTAATGGTCTTCAAAATTTGCATTTGTGCTCAAGTAAAAAAAAAAAGATTAAACGGAAGTCGGAACACATGTGATTGAACAGTGAACAGATACCGATGACCCACTGTTCAAAGTTTTAGCATGATGATCTTAAAAAATGGCAAAGTTTTTTTTTGCAAAGAAAATGGCAAAGTTAGCCGCCTTTACTTTTGCGGTAGTCCATTCACAGTTGCGTGAATTATTGACATAATCAATGCTTCAAAATGCACTTTTCGGTACCTTTTCCACATGGTGCACCCTCAAAGCTTTCAATGAGCCTCCGCTCGGGGGGTGCCGCTCCCTACCCCCCCCCCCCCCGCTTCACCGGCCATGGCCTAGATTTCTGCACCCGTGCACTACGCCTGTGGGCCCCTTTAAGCTAGCACCGGGCCCCCCGGGTCAGCGCAGGGGCCCCTTTGCCAAGTTGGCCCCCCCCCCAAACTCCAAGTCTGCGACCGCCCCTGCTCCCCCTTCGTTTTCAGGGCGACTCTCGTCAAGTGGTGACCGTGTCTGGCTGCGTGTCGCCCCACGTCCTGCCTGTTACGGACGCCGGTGAACTGCTCTGCCACCCGGGGCTGGCCTTTAACCTGAGCTCTGCCAGCGAGCGGCAACTCTCCGCGGTTCGGCTGGTGCCGTTTCCCGAGCCAGCCCGCTGGTTCGTCTCGCTGCGCACCAGCTGCTACAATGCCAGGTAAGATTTAAAACATGTATTTATGAATCTAGTCGCCGTAAGAACGGCTGACATTTAGTTAGCAAACAGACATTTACCTTAGATCAGAATGAAAAACACATGAAATAAAGATCGTCTGGTTTTTGCTGTCCGCTTGCGCAAGGAAATGTCTGCATTTATTTCTGCTATCTGGCCTTAATTGTGTCCAGCCAAGTGCAGTAACCCTCGTTCACCCGTACCATCTTCCCCAGAACTGGCCGTAGTTTCCCTCTCTCAAACAATCCCTCCCCATCTTTGCACACAGCTCTGGCAGCCAGCTACCCTGCGTCCGCTCCCAGTACGCAGTGAACCTGGACGTCCACCTCCAGCCGTGTGTGTGGCCCGGCGCGCCGTGTGGAGAGCACGGTATATGTCGGGAGAACCACCGTGGTCGGCTCTACTTTACCGCTTGCAGCTGCCTGGACGGTATGTGATGGGCGATGGAATATGGATGCTTGGATAGTGGCTAGTCAGTGGATGAGGGTGGTGGAACGATTTAGCGTGGACAGTGGATAACATTGTGGAATGTGGAAGTTGAACAGTGGGAGCTAGATAACAATACCAATACCAATTTATTCCGGCAAATCCACATACAGTGGCTATTCCTTGCCATCGGTCAAGTTGTAAAAACGAGAGGTATAAACAGACATTCAAACTGTTCGTGGCAGAATGCGGATGGTCGGAGCTGCTGACGGATGTTGAAAGTTGGACGGACTGGAGGCTTATGTAGACTTACTTAGGGCCTGTTCCAGCGCCTCCAGTAGAAATTCTTGACTGGAGGCTCTACCAGAGGTTTCACTGGAGGCGCTGGAACGCAATCTGGAGATTTCTGGAGATTGGCGTCATAGATACCAAAAGAATGACGATTGTTTCTATCTTGAAACGCAAAATTTGTTTTCAATATTAGTAAAAAAGATTAACAAAATTATAGCAATGTAATTTTCATTACATTCAAGTTGTAAAATTCTCAGTCAAAAGTTCTTTGTTTACATTCGTGAATGTCACATGTGCGCCATAATTGTAGACCAGAGCCTCCAGAGAAAATTGGACCTCCCAACTCTCTGGAGGCTACTGGAGGTTTCTGGAGCTTTGGCGAGAGCTTTCTGGAGCTTTCTGGAGGCGCTGGAACGCTCTCTGGAGGATACTAGAGCTTTCTGGAGGTTTCTGGAGGTTTCTGGAGGCGCTGGAACAGGCCCTTAGACTTATTTCGTCGACTCCATCTAGTAGATGCAGGACTCTGTGGACAGGAGTCGAACCTTCCCGTTGGAAAGCCAAGATGGCGTGGGAAATGGTTAGGGCCTTGGAAAATGGTATCGGCCGTCCGTTGAATGCCACCGAGCCCCAATTATTGACTAATGTTATCCTTGCAGACATATGCCAACATTCTATTGTTTGCTGGATCGGTATCCTATGACCCCCTAACCGGCCACTGACATCCCATTCTCTCGGCAGGTTACCGCGGCTGGGACTGCAGCGACGGCTCGGCAGCAGTACCCTCCGGCCGCCGCCTCCTCTCCGTATCCCTGCTCACCCTCAGTAACCTGGCACTGCTGCCCGCCGTTGTGCTGTCCCTGCGCCGCCGCCTGGCCACCCTGGCTTTAGTTTACGCTGCGGCTATGGTGGCCTCGATGCTGTACCATCTGTGTGACCAGCTGGGTCGCCAGCTGACGGGCACGGGATACTGCCTGCTGCGGTTTGAGGTGGGTGGCGGTGTGTGGGGAGCTTTGAGCGGGATGGGCCGGGGTTTTCATGGGGCGACGGCTGTTACCTGTTATACTGCATGGGTGTTGGGATAGGATGATTATTGAGATGTGAGCTGAGGAATGAGGATATCAGCGACTACGAGTCCCGAGAATTTAAATTTTGTTAGTGGTGTTTGCGCCTTTTTCGCAAATGACTGTTGACACAGGTTCAGTGATTTTTCGGCGATTTTTCGGCTCGATTATCATTCACCCAATCACCTCTTCCATTTTATTAATTCTACAACACTAAATGATGTTTCCTTATCGTACCTGATCTCATAACACCTTTACCCGACAGGTGTTACAATTCTGCGACTTTTTCGGCTGCGTACTGAGCTGCTGGGTGACCCTGGTGAGCCTGGCCGAATGGCGGCGGGCCGAGCCTACACTGCACGTGCTGGGTGCAGTGTTAGCGGCGGCTGCCGTGCGCTGGCGTCCCACCGCGCTGGGGGTGTTCCTGGTACCAGTTCTGCTTGCTGCCGCCGTACCGGTGAGGGAGGGGTGGTGGATTGGGAGGGGCGTGTGCGGAGGGAAGGGGCGGGGCGGGTGAAGGGGAGATCGGTAGATAGGTCAGGTGGTGAGGGTAGGGGAGTGAATGGCCGCGGTTACATCGTGGTAGTATTATAACCAGGGATGCGGAGCCGTGGAAATTTCAGACGGCTCCGGCTCCGGCTCCGGCTCCGGAGAAAAAAATCGGCTCCGGCTCCGGCTCCGGCTCCGGGTGAAATGTTATGGCGGCTCCGGCTCCGGCTCCGGCTCCGAGTAAAATGGTCCGGCTCCGGCGGCTCCGGCTCCGGCGGCTCCGGCTCCGACTCAGTACATCCCCTATGCAATCAATTAAATACGGGTGGAAGAAAAATTGGATTGGTTATACGCGTTACTCTTTGCCATGACCGACTCACCGCGTCCCCGCGCAAACGCACCTCGGAGAGAACTAGCAGAACGAAGGACTAGGAAGCGATGGCATTGGAAACGCAGTTGCCGCGAATCGGAGTTCACTGAACCATCGTAAGCTGACACTCGTCTCGGCTGCATTGGGGTGGGGGGGTGGGGGTGGGGTGGGGGGGTGGCGTGGGAAGAGACGGTGCTGGGAGTCACAGTCCACTGCACTGGCTTCAAAACAATGGCCGTCACCTGATGACCGGTACTCATGTTCTGGGGATGCAGTAGACGTGGGGGGGGGGGGGAGGAGCAGACAGGAAGTTGATTGCGTACTGTGGGATACTGGGGATATTCGGCTTTTTTCATTCACTTGATGGCCCATGACGTACTTACCATATGTTTTACTGCCTTGTACTGTCAAACCGAACTAGGTCAATTTTTCTTTCCTCTTCAAAAAATAAAAAGGAGCCGGAGTCGCCCCTTTTTTGGCGGCTCCGGCTCCGGCTCCGGCTCCGGGCTATATTGTTTCACGGCTCCGGCTCCGGCTCCGGCTCCGGGCAAAATATGCCGGCTCCGGCGGCTCCGGCTCCGACTCCGGCTCCGGCTCCGCATCCCTGATTATAACAGGTGGCATTTGCAGCTGTGGTAAAACTACTACTGGCCGCAGACACAGATGATACCACATTGATAGGAATGTTGTCGCGAGGGCAGCTTTGAATCCACGCCAGTTTGAGACTTGAGTCCAGAGTTTGAGCTTTGAATGCTTAGTGATTACAGACTATCACATAATGACGGTTACCTGTTCAACTCATTTAGTCTGGTCTCGTGGTTGAGTGCCTGTTTTTAATCATTGTTATCAGTATAATAGCGCTCACTCCAGGAACAATGTCCCAATGCGGCCAATCCCCCTTATCCCGGACGTATATAACCCCGCTCACTGCTTTCGCAATTCCTCGCTAGGTGGCAGTGTACGCGGCGCGGAGCTGGCGCCGCGGCCGACTGCTGAAGCTCAGCCGCTCCTGGCTGCTGCGACACCTACTGCCGGGGCTGACGCTTGCCCTGATCGCTGTCGGAATATTCACCGGCCTGGAGACAGTCGACAACTACCAGGTGCGCTGGGGTGTAGAGGCGATGAGGGGGCGAGGCGTTCATCAGTCGCCATCTGGCGGAATTAATTATATGGGTGTGTTTCGGCCGAGTTGGTGATAAGGGAAACTTACAGAGCTGGAAAGACAAATGGCAGTTTGGTTGGTTAGGCATTGAGCAATGCATTTCGCTCTGTTAGTATTATCGGATAATGCGGTGATGCGCTGCCTCCGTTACCGTCTTATTTTGTCAGGACGTGACTTTTTATTCGTTTCCTTCGACACGTTGCAGTTTGCACGAAGCGACTGGTATTTCTGGTGAAAAGCTCGGGGCTATAATGGCCGCTGGCATTTTCAATGAAGCTGCGTCTGAAAACTTCGAACAATTTGTATGTATTCCAATATTTTCAGTAACACGCTCTTCTTCCTCTTTCAGTACACGCACAGTGCGTGGCACCTGGCGCTCTCCCTGTCTCTGCTAGCCCTGCTGCCTGACGGCGGCCGGCGGGGCCCATCACCCTCCGACCAGCTCCAGCTGATAGCTGAGGACGCAGACAGCGACAGAGTATCCTTTCGACACGAGCTGGAAGAGCTGGGAGCGGGCCGGGGGTCGCCGACCTTCTGTAGATCGGACTCGGCCGCCCCCGTCCGTGCCGTGGTCGCCGCCCCGGGCACCGCTGGCAGCTAACACGGAATGGATACAGTGGAGACTTCTGACACAGCTGAGTTGGTTTCTGCGAAAGGTGCGTCCTCTGCAGTCTGAGGTACGACGATCTAGGAGAAGTTATGGTAGCTGGTAAGAGTGTGATGACTGTTACAGAGTGGGCGAAAGGGAAGGCATTACACACATTTTTGATCTATTTGTCGGGGGGGGGGGGTGCACTGAATCATCGTAAAGGTGCTCCTCTGCCTTGCTTGGATGTATCACGGATCATGTTTTTACGGCAATGTTGATTAAACGCTGTCTTGCATGGACCTGATATTCCATGGATGAGACTTTATGGTGCAATGTTCTAGATCTGACTATTCCGTATCGTGTTTCTGATAGCCCCTTTGATAAGTGGATATGCCTAAGCTATGCAATCGATCCGATCTTGAGGTGCTTTGATATATCCAATCCTCTGGTTCTGACGTCTTGGTTCCGACATATTGTCCTGGGAGCTGAACTTACATCCGTTGGATCTAAAGGATATCTTGTGTTAAAACATCTCCTACGGCGGAGTTCTTTCCTCTGTCCCGTGATGTTCCAATGTCGAGCGCTGGTTCTGCCCTTTTGACGTCGAGAGTCACTCAACACTTTCCAGGCTATCACTGCCGTCTACTCAGCCTACACTCTCTGTATAGTGTACAATCTCATCACGGTCCCGACCGGCCTCTTCCATCGTATCCCTTTGCTTTCATTCCTTCCAGTCTGCTTCCATCGCAACTGTCCGTGTCTGCGGCTACCCCGCTGCCTTACGCTCTTTCCTTCACATTCCCTGGCTAGTGGACGATAATCAGGTCACTGTCACAAACGTCCACTTCGTTCCATGCACCCATCCATCAGCAGACCGGGAATTTTCGGCCCTTCCCCGCCACAGAAGTCGCGGAGTTCCCGAGTTGTCAGCACTGTTCCATGTTCCATTGTGCTGCGCTACGGGCGTCTGATACGTCGCCCGATATTTACCTGTCGCGGTTATCGCGCTGGTATCTGCCGGCGGCGGGTGGTCGTTTGCTGGCTGAGTGCTAGCCGGGGTGTGGTCGAACCTTTTGTTTCGATGCTGTACGTATTCGGTCGAGTACCGTGCGGGGTTGTTGTTTGCCGTGTGTATGGGAGGAAGGTTGACTAGATGAGTCACTGCTCCGGTTTGGCGGCGGATGCTGTTTTGATGAGTCAGAGTACGGTTGAGTCGACAAAGTTACTGCAGGAGATGCTGTTGCCCTTTGCCCGGGTTTGACACGTGTGTGCCACAAGCTATCGGTGTTATCAAGCTCACGAGGATAGCGTAGAAGCAGTATACAATGCGTCCGCGGGATGGTATTAAGTCTAAGCTGGTTCGTTTCGCGCTGCGTAGTCATATGTGTAGACCCATAGCTCTTCTTACCAGTGTAAGATCTCCACTGTGTGCCATTTGATGCAGTTTTGTAAGCGGCTGTCGATATACCACCACGCCATTCGCATGATTTTGTCAGTCGCTACCGTATTGACGGAGTTTCTTTCCAATCTTTGGCGTAGCATCATCTTGCGTCATATTGTCAGAACTTTGATGCCATGATGAGACTTTGTAGCATCGTTAGAACAGTATCGTGACTCGTCCTTGAGAAGAGATTGTTAATGCTTTGTAGATGAGAGATTGGCTGAGGTTAACCGAGTATCTATCACTGCGTATCTCTTTTGAATCTCGTTGTCAATATCAAGAGGCTATTAGGAATATTGAATGTTAATGACGCTTTTCAATATGGGCATCAAAACCAGTGCAGCTCCATGTGATGTGTTTCTACGCTTATACGGCAGCTATCGCTTGTAGTTTTTTTTACGTTCAACGTACCATTGTCGTTTTCTATTTTTGTAGACATTTGACATCACCCAGGCGTTGAACTTATTTGTGAATGGCATGGTCGCAGAATTTTTCACGAAAAGTGGGTAAGGATATACTTGTATCTCCTTACCCGATCTCTGACGACTTCTTTTGCAGTATAGTCGTCCTCCTCCCTTGCAATCAGTAATTAATAAATTGCAGTCTTTTGTTTGTTGTGTGACTTAAATTAAGATAAATTGTGTGAAAAGTTCTGGGATTCTGCCACACGGTCCTGGTTCTCACCTCCATGTCATATGCGTATGTTGTTTACTTTTCATCATGTTGTGCCTTCATGCTGCATTTCTCAGCCCGCTTACTGCCGTACAGTGTTCCTGTCATAACGCGTACTCCATTGAACCTAACGCTTCCAGTTGTGTATCCGCAGTCGCTAGTTGCCATGTCTCAACGTTTATATGTCCATGTCAACTGTAAATACTGCCTTTGGAGAATTTCTTGTGTTCCCATGTCTTAACGCTTATGTGTCTGTCATATCACATATGTACTGCCTTTGAAGTCATTCGTGTTAACTGTTGCATAATCGTTAATCAGGTATCTGCGTTGCTTGTCCTGTCTGTTGACAAAGTAAGCATTATAGCAAACTTGAGAGCGGTTGGAGTGCATGCACGCTTATGCTGGTTGGAACGGATTTGAATAGACGCTAGACAGTGATATTGTCTTGCCACTGTTCTACTGCCCAATACGATGCATGTATGTGTAGCTTTTATACGTGTCTCTCGTTTCCGAGACAATACATGTCTGCCTCATAAATCTTGTGTGTCTGGAAATGTCTGATGGAATGCGGCTAGGCTACTGTCTTTCATGATTCGACTTTTCGAATTTGATGCGACAGAGACGACTAGCTTTATGTTGAGAAGCCGAAATCATCACGATCATGCAAAGCTGGGAACGACTCGTCGTGAATCTGACATGGATTGACCATCGATCCGTACTATCTGACAGGTTTGCAGCCCATCGTGTTTTGGATGCGTGAGTCCTGGGGTCGGCGCCAGTCACTGACCCATTGCTCACCGGCCATGTGGCGGTCATTGCCCACCTCCGTCTATCGGTCAGGTCATCGAATCATGGCATAGTTCCGAAAGGGATCGGTGTCGTGCCGATCGTGTCCTGTAAATAGAGTGTCTCTGTGTGTCAGGACTTATCAGGCAGATGACGACTTGACGTCCGCTGGGAGCGTCACTCACTGCAAGACGGCTTTCATATGTTTTCTTATCAGCACAGAGTGCCCTTGCATCTTATTCCTAGAACTCCACTCCGGATTTGTTTCGCTTTTGCTTAGGGGAGATACCAGAACGTCCACCTTCTTTGAGCCGGATCCTTTCCACCATCTTCTGGCTTGTCCTATGATGTTTCCGGCTAGCAATCTGCGAAGCGACATCATCCAACCATGGCCCTGTCCTACTTAGCAGCACACGGGAGAGACGAATATCTCGGACCTGTTTGTGCCATGACGCTCCTGAGTCGGATCGCTCTCATCAGATCGGCCGCTCCTTTTGAACCAGAGCTGGCTGTTGAGGCTGGCGCTTGATTCTGATTCTTGTTTTTTCTTTTTATCATGAGATGAGTGGGCCGGATTTTAGTTGATGAGAGGACACCCTCAATTCATGGAACATGTTTACATTTAGTTGCTCTTGCGAATGTTTTTGAGACCGCTCTTGATGAGACTCTAATCTGATTCTTAGTACCGCCTAACTAACTTTCGGTGAGTGTGTAGAGACGCTCAGAAACCAAGCCGCCTATCCTCCATCGCAGTGCTATCAAATCTCAGCTTCAGGTCCTGTGATCTCGCCGCCTTCCATGCCCCGCCGCTTTTCATCTAGGTCCTGTGCACTGAGATGCGATCTTAACCCGCGCACCGACGGGGGTCTGCGCCAACTTCGCACCGACGGGGGGGCGGATGACCGCCCCCCCCCCCCTGAGATCTCGAGAACGAAGCAAGATAGCGACAAGCGGTAAACGGCATCGGATACGCACGGCCAAGTTCTACAATTTTTACTAAGGTCATTTTCAGGTCAGGTCAAAGATGACGTCACAGGGGTCGAAAAAGTCAAAATGGCGGCGCTAGATATGGAGAGAGTTTTTCTCGAATAACTTTCGAATTAGTCAAGATAGGAACAAACTAAGGGCATCATCGTGATCCTCTCGTCAATCCGCATCGAATGATATATATGTTGACCTCGAAAGGTCAAGGTCAAAGGTTGACCTCAGGTCACGTGACCTCGAGGTCATCATGCATATCATTCGATGCGTCTTGACGAGCTGAACACAATGAGACCACCCACGCGTCTGTATCTTGTTCCTGTACGGAGTTATTGGCCAAAAACCTTTGGTGACCTTTGATGACGTCACATGACCTCACAGCTGCCCAACAGCAAAACAGACCTCAAGGTAGTGAAGGTTGATCGTATATGAAGTTATGTATGGTATATGGGGCCATTCCTACCCGTTTTAGTGGTAAAAACAGGGAGTTGATTTTTCCCCCATTGACTTATAATGGGGAGGTCGCGAAATTGACCTGACCTTAGGTCACCGATATCAAAATTCCGAGATATACAAATTGTAGCTACTAATGACCTAATAATATCCTGCGACTTTCAAAGGCCTCCGACATTTACTATAGCTCTGGCACGGTGACAAAGTTGCAAAAAAGTGACTTGAGGTTGGGTCATTCAAAGTGACCTGGTGACCTGACCTTAAAAGGTAGGAGGTTCAAACTTGCACACCATGTGTAAAATTGATGAGGTTATAGTCATACCAAATTTCGCGGCGCTACGCGCCGCGGTTTTCCCGCTATTCGCGAAAAACCTCAGGGGGGGGGGGCGGATATCCGCCCCCCCCCCCGTCGGTGCGCGGGTTAATTATGCTCCTCGGTGTTCTCTGCTTATGGGAGAGTCCCGTGTGGATCCGGTCCGTCCTCTCTCCCGCCCTGTTTGCATGGATTACCGACCTCTATCCACCGTCCGAACTCCGTTCTGTGACGTCATCTATGACATCACCACCTGACCGACTAGCTGTTGGCTCTCAGCGCTCACACCATGCAGGGATTACGAGTGAGTCATCTTACCGAGTCGCGACCGGTGCCGGTAAAGGAGGGTCGTCGCTCAGAGATGACGTTAGGTGACGAGAGTGCTGGTGGTTGGAGGGTCACTGATGATGATATCGGTCAGCTAACAGACTCAGTGTGGAGGCCAGTCGTGCTGGACATTTTTGGCGGGGAGCGGGTGAGTCAGAGACTGATGTAAGGCGAGGCCAAATCTCGGTGTACGTGATGATGAATAGCAAGTTTAGCTAAAGCTGCACAGATGGAGCTACGATAAAGGGACAGTGAGGACTGAGAATGCTGCTCTAAGGCTCTCTCCATTGCCCTCTCAGTCTCATCCCTTTATTGAAAATTGGAAACGCCGATAGCTAACGTGAGCACATCGCGTACCTCACCATAATTTGTTACCTATGTAACAAATTCTGCTCCGTTTACCTATGTATGTATATGGTACGCTACTTTTCGCTGACTTCGATATGACGTTACCTATGTAATATGATAATGATAATTTGTTACCTATGTAACAAACAAAATGCTCCGTTTACCTATGTATGTGTTGACAATTCAACTTGACTCAACTCTCAACTCTCAAATAAATCCGAAAAATCTCCGACACAGACCTGGAGACACGTGGCTCAAGCCATTTCAATGCGTATATATTGAATCAGACGATTCCTGCGCACCACATCACATTTCTCAGGCCACGTCGACGACCGTCGAAACACTAAACCACTGCTAAAAAATAGTCGTTGAATCGCTGCCAAGAGAAGCGTTCACTAAATTCCGTAACATCCTCCCCCCTGAAATGCGAACTTCAGAGGGCGCGTTTCACACAGGTACGGAACCGATCTTACAACGACAGATCCATAGTTCACAGCGAACAAGACTGCATCACTTAATTCAATTCAGACAGATTCAGACAGAGAATCTGAGTCAAACGCATCAGTCTACAAACGCAAACGTAAATCGATTCACCACTCTTCAAACAAACAAACGCCAACCTCGACGCAAACGACATCAAACTTGTCACATCACCAGGGCCACTTGCACCCTGCACTCTGCGAGCCACCACACGCAACTGTCAACTCAGCGCGTCCTCTGCACGCCGCCTCACTGCTCAGAGCGACATCTACAGTCGGCGCCCAACACTACCTTGCCTGTAATCGCAGACGAGAGAAAAACAAACTAACACTGCTGACGAACACTGCGGTCTAACACCGCCGACGAATGTGAGCGGTTCACGGCTCAGAGGACAGCGGGTCGAGGTCAAAAAGCCTCTGGATGGGACGGGTTTTTAGACCAGACGGAGTCCGGACTTCTGCCGACCTCACCTTTCCGTCTCGGCCGGTGATCAGTCTCGTGACGACGCCATGCACCCACCTCATGCGCGGCACGTTATCCTCCTGCAGCATGACCATGGAGCCCTCGGACAGCTTACCTTGAGGCCTGAACCTTCTGACAGAAGGCGGCAGGGTCCTGACATACTCCTTGTACCAGACAGACCAAAATCTAGCCAGACGCTTCTCACACACACGAGCTCTCTCAGTCAGCGCCTTCGCATTCACACAGGCAGGGTCCTCCACCACCCGCGAGGAGAACCCGGTCCCTCTGCCCGTCAGAAAGTGCGCCGGGGTGATCGGGGGGCTCGAGTCCAGTCCATCACCAACAAACGTCAATGGACGGGAGTTAACACAACACTCAACTTCTAACAACACAGTCTCCAGCTCATCCCGTGACAGACAGCGTGACCCAAGCGACTTGCGCAGGCCCACTTTCACGGAACGGATGAGCCGTTCCCACCATCCGCCCCACCACGGCGAATGCGGTACAATGAAGCGCCACTCAGGCGCCAGATGACTGTAGACACGCTGCAGCTGCTTATCAGCTCCCCTGAAAGTAGGTGCGTTGTCAGAGTACATGATCCTTGGTAGACCGCGCCTGGCTGAAAAACGCCTGAGTGCTAGCATGAATGCCGGTAACGACAGGGCGTCAGTCATTTCAAGGTGAACGGCACGCGTGACAGCACACGTGAACAGGCACACGTAAAACTTCTTCCGTGGAAAATCGACGCTGAACAGGGGACCACCAAAATCAACACCAGTCACTATGAATGGAGGGGACTGAGTCACTCTGCAGCCCGGCAGAGGCGCCGCCTCCTCGTTGAACGGTCGAGAATCGTGACGAAGGCAGCTGACACAGCCGCGCTTCACACCCTTGGCGATGCAGCGCAAGCCCAAGATCCAATACGCTCCTCTGAGCGAAGTCATCATCGTTGAGACACCCGCATGTTTCAGAAGAACATGCTGCTCTCTTGCCAAAAGCACAGCCAAGTGACATTTTGGCAGCAGAATCGGGTGCTTCTCCTCGTACATCAAGTCAGAGAACTCCAGCCGACCCCTCACTCTGAGAAGTCTATCGTCAGCGATAAACGGGTCGAGACCGATCAGGCGCGAGCCCTTCGGCAGCGACTGGCGCTTCTCCAACGCGCTCCATTCTCCAGAAAACGCCTTCCGCTGCTCCTGTCGCAGCAGATCGAGCCTCGCGTCAGCTAGCTCGAGAGTCGTCAGATCAGGAAGACTGCACCTGTCAGCTGGGGCACGACAGTTCCGTATAAATCGACGGACCCAGCCCGCCACACGGACAGCCTTGGACATCTTACCCCAGCGTTCAACAGGAAATACTTCCTCAAATTGTGAAGTCACCAAACAGA